AAAATCATCATTATCAACAATGTAGCATGATCAATCAGACCAGTTGGACTTGATGAGTCAATATTTGTGCATATTTGGAATATGCCTTTAGATTTTCCTTCCAAATGGAGAAATAGGTTCTATACTCATTTATTCAAATCCAAGTTAGTATCTATCAAGTTCCAACTTCTGAACAGTTTTAAGATCGTCACGCTGGAGGCTGCTTTCCTCTCTATTGCATCAAGAGTCCTACAGTACATTTAGCTGCCTTGTTTCAAGTAGGCCTGTAGACCATTAAACTGCCTCAGGGACCTGACTGGAAGGAAGGAAGCCACTAACGGTGACTTCAGACATTCCTTTTTGGCAGAGTTTAGAAGATTAGAATTTAGAAGGATAAACAGCTGTTCATTCTCTCTAAATGGCCCCCGTGTGGCACTTTAGGACACTCAGTACTATCATCAACTTACTCAATGTGCCATCAGGCCTCTGGGACGAACAGTTAAATGCCTAGGGACATGATCTCTGTAGAATTCAGATGACACTCTTCTCTATATTTCTTGCCCAACAACCCTTGACAGTGCAGTGTCCACAGGAGCCTTCAGTTTGCGGTTGGAGAGAGTTGGGAGTGGGGACCGGCTCCAACTGGCTTCAGCTCAGCTCTAGAATCAGAAGGTCAATCCCCACAGTGGTAGAAAAAAGACACACAAACATAGATAATTGAGAGAAAAGACAATATCTAACTTAAAAGTCTTCCTCTTTCAACACATCATCAAATGGAGGGAGGTTTCAGAAGTGATTATATGCTAGAGCATAAAACATGCTGAATTTATGCACTGATTTGCCTTTCCTGATCTGGCTCTCAGTCCAATCTCATGAAGTGCAACTGAAAAGTATATGCACTGGTAACCCTGACGCGGGACTAGAGTGTAGGTCCTTGAACCAATTTTAAATTGTCTACATAGTAAGAGTGCAGCCAGAATGATTCTTAGAAGGATGGACAGTGAGGATGGTGAGACTATTTAACACACTTGGAGCACATTAGCCGGAGGAACCATTCCGTGGAGAAAAGTATCATGCCTGATATAGTAGTGGCTCAGATTCGCTGAGAAAGCTAGTCTGGTTCCAAATGTCAAAAAATATGCTTGCAAAAAAAAGTATTGGAAGACCCTAACAGAAACGTCAAACACCATTATGCTTTAAAATTAAAGAGAAAGAAATTTTTCAATGAGGTGAATTGATACACTGACTGTCACGATCTTAAGGACAACAGAGATTGTAGATTGGTGCAGGATCAGACAATAATTTATCTTCTATTATGCATATGTTGTTGTGTGCCCTTGTGCTGAAACCATCCCATAGTTGACATGCCAATGGTTTTCAGAGCCAGTAAATCACGTGGAAGGAGTATTTCCATCTTTCTTCTGTGGAGCAGTTGGCAAATTTAAATTGCTTGTCTTTGAGATTGCAGTGCAGCTCGGCTATCAGAAAGTCAGAATCAATTCAAAGACAGCTAACAATACGGCTAGAAAGTTAACAGTTGGCAGTTAAGTCTCCAGGAATTTCTACCAGAGGTCACAAAGAAGTAGTCATAATTCTCACTTGGAACCTAATAAGCTGTTGGTTTTTACTCAGAGTCAAGAATCTCAATCTTGATGAGAAAATCCTAAGAACAGAGTTAGGTTGGGCCCAACCTAACATGCAACCAAGGAAAGAGAGTAAAATACAAACTGCTCAGTGAAGTATGTCCTAAGATAGTATCTATTCACTTTTGTTCAGAGATCTATTTTATAATAGGTATACTTTTGGGGGAGAACACAGAATCAAGATTTCCCTTGACTTTTGCTATTAAAACTCTATTTGCTGTCTCCAAGTCAAAATGTCCTCTGGCTTGAATTATTCCATTGACAATATCTTTAATTTTGCTCTTAATTAAAGGAACTAAAGAACAAATTCAAGCTGTGCGTTGCCAAGAAAACTGGAGGATGGCCAACTGACTGAAAGAGATCCATATTTATTCATATTCCAAAAAAAATGGGTGGTCCAACAAGAGTGTGGAAATTATCGAATATCACTATTATCACACACAAGCAAAATACTGATGAAGATTATCCCAAATGAATGGAATACATCAACAGAGAATTACCAGAAATACAAGCTGGGTTTAGGAGAGGTCATGGCATTAGAGACATTATCACCAGAATCAGATGGATTTTGCAGAAGTGCATCAGGGATGCATCCTATCTCCATACCTTTTCAATCTTTTTACAGAACAGATCTTCAGAAGGATGAGCTTTATGAGGAAGAATGTGGTATCAGGACTGGAGGAAGACTCATCAACAACCTACATGATGCAGATGATACAACCTTTCTTGTTGGAACGGAGAACGACCTGAAGCATTTGTTGCCGAAGGTCAAGGACTATAGACTGAAGCTCAACATCAAGAAGACAAAGATTCTCACCACTGGATCAATTGTGATATTTAATGCATTATCCCCTTGATGATAGTTTTTGCTTCATAATGGCTGTTTGGTGGGTGATTTGTTTTTGTTTTATTGGTTTTTTGTTTGTTTGTTTGTTTTTGCTAATGGCTTAGTGTTAGAGCTGGAAACCTTCTTGGATTTGCCTAATAGGCTACCCTTTCCAGTCACTATTCCAGCCTATCAGTCAGCAACTTAATTTTTTTATTTTCTTTAAGTTTCCCTAAGCTCTGGTTTAGCTTGTTATTGGTGTTGTTGTTAGGTGCCACTGAATCACCTGTGACTCATAGTGACCCTCTGTACAATGACTGTGAAGCCAGCCCTGTCATGAGCCAGTCTCACTGACACCTACCCCATTGCCTCAGTTACTGATCATCCAAGGTTTTCCTCTCCTGTGCTGTCCCCCCCACCCTTCTGAGCATGATATTTTTCATTGAGGATCTGTCCTTCTTGGTCATGTGGCCAAACTATGTGGAATGGAGCTTCAAAATTCTAGCCTCCAAGGAGAAACTTGGTTTCACCTTTGTCAAGACAGACCTATTTGTTTTCTTGGTGGTCAATGGTATATTCAAGACTCTTCTCTAGGACCACAGCTAAAAGGCATCGCATTTTCTTCTATTGTCCTTAGTCATTGTCAGCTCTCTTATGCATAGAAAGTAATTGTGAAGAACCATGGCCTGGATCAGGCATGTCTTAGTCTCTAGACTGACATCATTGCTTCTTAGCACACTGGAGAGGTTTCTGACAGCAGATTTTCCCAGTGTAATTTGTCTTTTGAGTTCTTGACTGCTGGTGCCAATGTTGACTGTGGACCTGAGCAAGCTGAAATTGTTAACAACCTTAATCTCTTCTCCATTGATCATGGTACTGCCAGTTGGTCCAATGGTGAGAATATTTGTCTTTCTGATGTTGATCTTCAATCCATATTGCCCAGTCAGCTCACCATATTTTCCTATAGAGTCGTGTCTTGAATGGTTATTCAAACTGAGGTTTCTAGGCTAACAACATCAACTTCAGTTGAGAACAGTTTCTTAGAAAGGATAATTCATGAGTCTCACTCTAGAGCTTTAAAACCAAATTCTAATCCACAGCTGATCAGTTGATTAAAACTCATCTTGACCCTCTATCAGGTTTCTGAAGCTGTAAGTCTTTACAGAAGAAGACTGCCCATCAATCTACGCCAGAAAAGCCAGTAGATTCAAATTGCTGACCAAAATGCAAACAGAAACTCTGTGCACCTAGAAATACAATTCTAAAGAAAATATCTGAGAGTTTCTGAAGCAGAATAAGGTCTGAGAAATAGTAAATTAGAGCTATTTTCACCAGGACATTCTGAGGTTTACAAATTCAAAGCAATTCAAATTATGTAATTGAAAAATTTGATTATGTGAAGAGCCTTGAACTTGTCAATTCACACAAAATATTTATGTCAGTTTTGCCTCAAATTTTAGCTTCAAAATTAATTGTTTTTGTTGAGTATTGAGTCAAAACCAACCCATAACTAATCCTACAGCAAGTTTTCAGATAGGAGGAGATTTTCCACCTTTTTCCCAAAGAGTAGCTGGTGGATTTAAATTGCATGTCTTTGAGTTTGCAGCACAGCTCCTTAACACTAGGCCATTAAGGAAAAAACAAACAAGAATTGTCATAAAATTTGTCATCAAGGGGAGAATGTACAAAATAATAGTTTGATTAAAACTTTAGACTAGATATTTTGATGTAGGGTAAAAAACCCATCAACTTGGGAATTCAGAAACCTGAATTCTAGTCATGGCCAGCAGGCTTTTTGGTGTTTATTTGGGATGATTTTTGTGTTTTGTTTTGTTTTTTTAAACTTGTTGTATATGGTTTCTTCCAATTATAAAATGAGAAAAATAAAACCTATCCTAATGACTTAAAATATATAATTATAGGTATGCAAGATTCTTGAAATTTTTAAGGAGTTCTTCAAATATAGGATCAGTATAACTGTTGTTTGTATAACATCATGCATATTATTCATAATCATGAGAACCTAAATTATGTCTTTTGGAGGAAAATTGTATTGGCTTTATTACTTTGTATGAATCACAATGGGCAAAAATGAAGACTTTATAGAAGGATATTTAGAACTTTATTTATTGCTTGTAAATACCTCAAGAGCTTTTTTCTTCTCTTATTTACTACCAAGAAATATTGTATCATGAAACATATAAATAACCTTATACAATAAAGGAGTGTAAAGCAGTTATACTAAATTTAGTCTCTTGAAAAATATGGTTATCTCGTTCTTTTACTTTAAAAAAATGTTACCAAATAAAGTACTTTCATAGTAATTTTTAAAATGTACCAATTAACTTAGATTTGATTTCTAATTATTTTATATTTGTTCTGCCAATGTTTATTTAATATCATTAAATCAAATCATCAATGATTAGTGAAGTCTTCTATGTCAGCTGATTCATAGACTAAAGCTAATTTCTTTTTTTTTCTTTATATAAGTCTATCTTTAAAGCTAATTTCTATGTCAAAGACTCATACTCAGATTATTTCATTTGACTTACCCCCAAGATCGCATCCACTATAAACACTGCCAATGGGTCGAGAAGTGTCCAGAGTCCCATGGCCATGATTACTTTTGACAAGACATCAGGGCAACTGTTAAACAGCATCTGACAGCCCCATCTGATCAGGACCAAAAGAAGCATGACTACATTCAGTGTTAGAGGCCCCATCACAACCACAGGCAACTCCTCACTGATGTGAAGTGAAGAAGCTGGGTAGCAAAGCTCAACCGTGTAAGAGTAGAAATCAAACCTATGGGGGAAAAAACCAACTAAAAATGTGCAAACAAGAAATTACACAAAATACCAGACATACAGCTAGTTTAAACAACACTAGGCTGTTCTTTCTTGTTGTATTTAATATAGGAAACTTGGTGCACAATTTAAAACTAAGCTATTGCCATCAACTCTTTCCAACTCAGGACAACCTCACATGTTGCAGGCTTTTTTCTTGGCTGCTATTTTCATGGGAGCAGAGTGTCAGAACTTTCTTTTATAGCAACACTGGCTGGATTGAAACTACTGGTCTTTAGGTCAATAGCTCAGTACACCATTGTGTCACAGAGGAACCACTGGCACAAAGTAGATACTGAGAAAATTAGGTGTTAGGCTCTGCCTTTTCCCAATCCCTCAGTCTCACCTCAAGAACTTACTGTGTAGCCAGTGACAAATAAGTAGCCTGTTTTTCTTTTTAGGTGTCTCTGTGTTGAAACACTCAACCCTTTGGTTAGTAGATTGTGCAAAGCCCTTTCTATACCTCTCCTCCTCCACCACTGCTGGGATTCCTCTGAAGTTATATATAGCATGCATTCTTTAGCTCAGTGCCAGTTCTCATTATGTTCTTTACAATGATTCACAGAAGTCCTAACCGTTGCACCTTTGATATGACATTGTTTGGAAAAAGTCTTTGGATGTGTTGTGGGTTAACAGATGGTCATACAGAAGGAAGGCGGGAGTTAATTCAGACACTGATAGGGGCACAGAGGGATAAACAGTCATGTGAAGGCAGAGACAGAGATTGGAGTAATGCAACTTCATAAAAGTTATAAAAAACCAACAGAAGCTGGAAAAGAAGCATAGTACAGAAGAAACAACGTCTCCAGAACAAAACAACATTACTAGCTGACACTCTGGTTACAGGTTCCCTGTGTCCTGTGAGGTAATATGGATTTGTTTTTTGGTGTGGGTTTGTTGTTTTTTTTTAATTATTAGTTAGCTTACAAAGTTTGTGTACATTGTGTTTCACATTATCCATCAGCAGCATCATAATCATTCCCATGTATTATATTTGATAAAATTAATCACCATTGGACCTTGTCATCATTACCCTATCTCTTCATACATTCTTCTCATCTCATACCCTCCTCACTCCACCCTCCAAACTGTGAAACCCAGTGGTTTTGCCCCTACTCATACTCATACTCCCCCTTAAGTTTCCATACATGTTTTACTAGTTATTCTTCTAGTTTTACAATAATGGTCTTATGTAATATTTGTCTTTAAGAGGCTGTGTTAGTTCACACAACATACTACTCTTTAGCCTTTTTCAAGTTATATAGTATTTTTTGAAGTTGTTGCTCCAGAGTGCCATGTAGTATTCCATTGTGTGAATGTACCACAATTACTCAATCTATTCGGTGTGGTTGTACATTTGGGCTGTTTACATTTTCTTGCAAAGGTGAATAATGCCGCTATGGACATTAGTGTACAAATCTCTGTTTGTGTCTCAGTTTTAATTTCCATGGGTTATAGTCCTTGTAGTGCAATAGCTGGATCATATGGAGTTTCTGTGTTCAACTTTTTGAGGAAACTGTTGTTCAAAGTGATTGCACCATTTTACAATCCTACCAACAGCATATGAGAATTCCAACCTCCCCTTATCTTCTCCAGCATTTATTGATTGCTGCCCCACTAAACTTTGCCATTGCTACTGAGGTGAGATGATATCTCATTGTGGTTTTGATTCTCATCTCTATTATTGCTAGTTATTACTTCATGTGTCTGGTGGCTACCTGAATGTCTTCCTCTGTGAAAAGTTTTTCCATGTCTTTTGCCCATTTTGTGATTGCATTATCAGTCTTTTTCTTGTGGACGCCTAGGAGTATTCTGTAAACTTTTGTTAAGAGACCCTTTTCTGAGATGGTACTGCCATCTGTTTGTTTCTTTCCAATTGGTAGGCTTTCTTTTCACTATGTTAGAAAGAGATTTTGATTAGCACAAAGATTCAATCTTTAGAAAGTCCAGTTCATCAGTTTTATCCTCCCCAGGTTGTACATTTCTGGCTGTATTTAGCAGTCACATTATACCATAAGTCAAAGAATTCAGCTCTCAATATGGATTGAAGCTCAATATCAAGAAAACAAAGATTCCCATTACTGGGACGATTGGCAGCATCGTTATGGATGGTGAAGATTGAAATTAACAGCTTCAGTTTGATTGGCTCCACAATCAATACTCTTGGCATGAAATAAAAAAAAAAATTGCATTGGGAAAATCTGCTCTCAGAGACTTCTCCAAAGTACTGAAGAACAATGATGTCAGTACAGAGACTAAGGTGTGCTCAATAAAATCCACAGTCTTTGCAATCACTTGCTATACATCAGAGAGCTGGACAATGGCTTGGGATGATAGAAGAATTGATGCCTTTGAGTTGTGGTGCTGAAGAAGAGTGTTGAATATACCATAGACTGCTAAGAGGGATCATCCTGGAAAGGGTGAAACCAGGCTGCTCCTTGGAGACAAGGATTCTGAAGCTTTTTCTGACCTACTTTGGGCATGTTAACGGGAGGGACTAGTCCTTGGAGAGGGACGTCATGCTTGGAAGGGTGAAGGGACAGCACAGGAAAGGAAGACCCTCGATGAGATGGATTGATTCAGTAACTGGGGTAATGGAGGATGAATGTCACAGACAGTGAGATTGGCACAGGATAGAGCAGGATTAGGGCTATTGTACATAGTGTCACTATGAGTCACAGGCTACTTGATGGCACATGACAACAACAACAATAAAGCCTTCTGAGTTGGTCCCAGTTGGTCTCTAATGAACTGTATGGTTTGCGGCCTTCCTCCCAGATCTCTGATTCACATTGAGGTGATTTTTTCATATGGTTTGAGATACAGATCTTGTTTCAGCTTTCTGTAGTTAGCAGTCCAGTTTTGCCAGCAATATTTGTTGAAGAGGTTGTTATTTCCCCATTTGGTAGGTTTTATTCCCTTATCAAAAGTACATTGACTATGGATAGATGCGTTAATTTCCAGGTTCTTGATTTTGTCCTATTGGTCTATGTGCCTGTCATTATAACAATATCACGCTGTTTTGGTTACTACCGCTGTGTAGTAGGTTGTGAGGTCAGGGAGTGCTTTTTTATTTATTTGAATTTTTTTTAGAACGGTTTTGCTTGTTCAGGGTCTCTTCTCTCCAAATAAACTTGACAATTTCCTTTTCAATCTCCTTGACTAAATAATTTTGGTATCTGTATTGGGATTGCATTGAACATGTAGATTACTTTTGGTAGGATTGTTATTTTCATAATATAGAGTCTTCTTAACCATGAACAGGGTATATTTTTCCATTAATTTAGGTGCAGAAATGTTCTGTAGTTTTCTTCATACAAGTCTATGTGTCTCTAGTAAGGTTCATTCCCAAGTATCTCCGTTTGAGTTTGGCTATTGTAAATGGTATTGCTTTCTTAGTTTCCTTATCTGTTTTCTTTGTTACTGTAGAGGAATCTCATTGATTTTTGGATATTAATCTTGTATCCTAACACTCTATTACTAGTTCTAACATTTTTTGTTGAGTCTTTAAGTTTTAGTGACAGTCTAATCTTCTCTTTGCTGATATGGATGCCTTTTATTTTCTTCTCTTGTTGTATTGCCCTAGTAAGTAATCCCAATACAATAATGATTAGAAGTTGTGATAGTGGACATCCTTGTCTGGTCCCAGTTTGCAAGGAAAAACTTTTTGTTTTTTCCACTGAGAATGATATTTACTCTTGGGTTTGCATATATCCTTTTCACTATGTGGAGAAAATTCCCTTCTCTTTCAATTTCACTGAATATAGGATTATATTTGCTTAATAAAATATCTCTAGGAGTGCTTCTTTTTTTCTATTTTTGAAATGATTTAAGTAGAACTGGTGCTAGTTCCTCTCTGAATGTTTGGTAGAATTCAGCTGTGAATGACTTTTCTTATGGGGAAGTCTTTTTATGACCTGTTTATTATTTTGTGATGTATTTGTTCAAGTGTTTATATATGTCCTTGTCAATTTGAGTAGAGCATGAGTTTCAAGTTTCCATTTATTCTAGGTTTTTTTAATTTTTTCAGTATGTAGCTTTTTATAGTATGTCTGGATGTTGTTTGTTTGTTCTTCCGGGTCTTATCTATTTGGTATTTGCTGACCTTCTTTAATGTGGATTTTCTCATTCTTCATAATATCTGATAAGTTTTCTCCTAGTATCTCTTCCACAATTTTCTCAGTGATTTCCCTATCCATCTTATGTTCTGAAATTCCAATCATATGTGTGTTGCTCCTTTTGATGTCATAATTCTAATGATGTCATAATAACATAAATCTAATTTTTTTAATTATTTTCTTTGTCTCATTTCTGATTTTTCTTCTAGTATGTTTTCTTTGAGGTTCTTTTCTTTCAGCTAACTGACTCTCTGCTCCATCTCTTCTGTTCTACTTTTTGTCCTTCAAGCATGTTGGGCCCTTCTGCCATTTTAGTCTTAGTTTTCTGGATTGCATTTTCATGCACTTCTGTTATTTTCAGTACTGTGTTGGCTATACCCTCTCTATCTGGTGATGATTTAAAAAAAAACACCACTTTATCTTTATTTTCAATTCTTTCTTTAACCTTTTGCATTTTCTTCCATAGTTTTGCAAGTTCCTTCTTATCAATATATTTCATTTATCTCCATGTCTCTGGAATATTTGCTTTCTTAGTAATTTCCATTTTTTCTTTCACGATATGTACCTTCTTCCATAGCTGTTCAAATAACTTCTCATCAATGTATTTCTTCTAGCTCTCTACCTCTTGGTTATTCTCTTCATTGTTGGCTTCTGCTGTTTCTTCCATCATTTGTGCTTTCATTCTTTGGTGTTCAAATATCCCCATATTAACACATATCATCTGCCTTCTTGACTCTCAGGTATTTATGAGGTCTACAATATTCTCTGCTTTTTTTTGTGAAAAGGCTTCATTTGTTTTTTCCTCAGTGTTTGAAGCTGGCTGTTCCTTTATTGACATTATGTGAAGTTTTTCTTGATTAGTGATAGGCCATTTCTATTGTGTCTGTGAAAGTTGTTGCTGGTTCTTGTCTTCATGATGTTATTGATTAGTTAAAATGTTCAGTAAGCTAAGTTAAAATGTTCAGTAGGATGAGTCACTCACTCTACTGAAAGGCTTTTCTGGGAAAATTTGTTTTTCCTAAAGTCCTTGAGGTTCTCTCTGTTCTGGATTGCACTCCTGGAGGAATCTTGCTTTGTTATAGTCCCTGTCTCAAACTCTATTGTCCTCCTTCATGTATGAAATAGGTGAGTGGTGTGAAACCAGGTGCTCTACTTGAGCACTTTCTCATGCAAATCTTCTCCTGCAACTTAAAGTCTTCTTTGTCACAAGATCAGAGATCAGGGCCACCAGATCAAATAGTTTATTTATGTTCAGAGGGCAGGGTCTCAAGTCATCCCTCCCTTTTGCAGAGAACTGAGAAAGTTTTTCCCCTGTTTGTAGCTCTGGGTCCCAAAGTCTCTTGTCCTGTTTGGCCCTTGAGATGGCCCTACAGCCATGGAGGCAAAAATCTTTAAACAGAGGGAACTATATTCTTAGAGAAGCCTCAGTCCCATCTCAGGCAATGTATTTTTATATTATTAGTGAGATAGCTTGTGGTATTTTATTAAAGTAACTCTAAGATGTGACTATAATGCCTACTATAGACTAAGCTCTGTGTTTTTCATTTCCATTGTTATTGGAATGTACCACAACTAAGATGTGACACCAAACTGATGTGTGCTTAAGTCTGCTGCTATAAAAGTAACTACCATAATATTCTACAATATTTTAGATCCTCTGTCATTTATAAAGTTGTATATACTCTGCTCTCAACATATTTCTGTGATACAAATTTGTTGACTTCGAATTGGGGTGTATGGGGGAAACATCGAATATGCCATGTGCTGCAAAATAATAAGCAAATCTGTCCTGGAAAAATTGCAGCCATAAGGTTCCTTGAAAGTGAAGATGGTCAGACTTCATCTCATGTATTTTGGACATGCTATCAGGAGAGGCCAGTCCCTGAAGATGGATATTGTGCTTGTTAAGGCAACGAGTTAGTGAAAATGAGGACACTCAAAGTGGTGAATTGGCCCAGTGGTTCAAACAATGGTCTCAAAAAGAAGCATCAGTTGTGAGATGGTAGATGCAAAACATGTAAACATGTTGAAAATTGAGTTGCTAGCATCTAAGAATTATAAAATCAAATTTTATCTACAACTAATAAAGACAGGGTTTCTTTTTTATTGAAGAAGTAAGAAAGGAAGTAGCAAAAAAGAAAACTAATCCAAGAGTGCCTTGGGAAATATAATACAAAGGCACAATTTTAGTGGAAAAAAAAGAGAGAGAATGAAAGAAGGGTTAGGATAGAAATGGGGGGGGGAATATGAAGATTAAAGTCCTTATTTTAAAAAATGAAGCTATTTAATGTGTAGGACTTTGCCATTTTTATAACACATTTAGGTGTTTGTGATTTAATTTCAGAAGACTATAAAATTTACAAACATACAAATATATAATATGCACACAAATATTTCTTTAATATAAAGTCCTAAAGTTCTTTTCAAACGTCTTAACTAAAAGTAAACATTTTTCTTTATTTTAATCTACATTTAGAAAATGAATTTTCCTTGTAGCATGGTCTGTTTGTCTATCTGTACTGTCTATAGAATCATTTTATGGGAAGATAATCTTAAAAGTGTCATCATTTTCCAAGGATAATGGCTCAGAAAGCTGCCTGAGTTTGAGTTGGGTAATAATCTGAATTCAATCATTTTACAGAAGAAGCAATCTTTGCTTTCCTGAGTACAGGTGATAAATCAGACCTGCATTACTTGTAAAATACCTCCAGCTTAAGTCACTCTGATAACATCTAAATAGAATAAGAGATTGTTTCTAAATTCCTTTTTTGCTTCTGCTCAGATATTAGAACATATTTGAATCTCCGAATTTAAATAAATATCAATGTACCAGTTTGGGTTTTGAATATATAGGCCTATAAAATAAGCATATAAGTGTAATAAGAAGTTTCTGCTGTTCTGTAAAGATATTTTTGCCTTTCAAAACACACTTTCAGCCCTATTCGAAATGGATGGGAGAGACTTTTTATACTTTCATTTGGCTTATCAGATGAAAATACATTTCCTGCACATTCGGGAGGAAGTACTCACTTGGTAACAGGTGTTGAAATGGCCTCGAGGAAAAGCCACTGGCCAAGGTAATGCAAGTAAAGTCTCAGGAACCAGACAGCAGCCATCAGCAGGAAAATGAACCAGCAGCCCTGGCTTCGCCATCTAGCTAATTGAAGTTCTGAAAACACTGACACCAGCACAAAATAGACATGTCCAGAGAATTTTCCAGAGCCCGTGTCCTCAGCAACAGATGAGCAGCTAAAAATAAAGGAATACTAGATAAATTCTGAATATGACACACAACAGAAGTAAAATAGTGACATTGAAGATATCACAAAGATCAAATGGAATGAAACTATTTATTAAACACTTTGTGCTGTTGTTGCTGTTGTTAGGTGCCTTCAAGTCATGTATGACTTGTAGCAACTCTATGAACAACAGACCAGCACCCTGTCTTATTTATTATGTGTCATTCTGATCCACTCTAGCACTCTTGAGACCTTAGATTCAAATTCTTTATAGTTAGCTTTATAAGACTGTTAGTAGTAGTTGGTGGTCTGTCCCACAATCAGCACCCAGCCTGGTTTTCACTGTTGATATTGAACTTCTCCAGCAAGTCTTTCCACAAATGTAATCTATTTTATTCCTATGCATGCCATCAGGTGAGATCCATGTGTATACCTTGTGTTCATGTTTCTTATAAAAGATATTTGCAATGAATAAATCATTGAATGTGCAGAACTCTATCATTCTATCTCCAGCCTCATTTCTCTCACCGAGTCCGTGTTTTCCAGTTACTGACCCTTCTTCCCTATTCCCAACTTTTGCGTTCCAGTCACCCATTATTATCAATGCATCTTGATTGCATGTTTGATCAACTTCTGACTGCAAAAGTTGGTAGAAATCTTCTATTTCCTCCTCTTTAACTCTAGTTGTTGGTGCATATATTTGAATTATGGTGGTATTCACTGGACTTCCTTGTATGTGTATGTATATTATCCTGTCACTAACCACATTGTATTTCAGGATGAATCTAGAAATGACTTTTTTAGTTATGAAACCAGCCCCATTTTTCCTCACCTTTTCATCCGCAGCATAGTAAATCATATAATCGTCTGATTCAAAATGTCCCGTGTCAAGCCATCTCATTTTGTCAATACCTAGTATGTCAATATTTATGCGTTCCATTTCTTTCTTAACAATGCCAAATTTTCCTACATTCATGCTTCTCACGGTCCACGTTTCAATCACTAGTGTCTGCTTACAGCTGTTCCTTCTTCTCTGTATTTCCATTTCTAAGATCTCAGTCCCAATTGCCATGTCTGCTAGTCCAAGCAGTAGTCTAAGTGTGCTCTATTGTACATAGGGTTTTCGACGACCTGTCATTTCAGAAGTGGATGGCCAATCCTTCTTCCTAGTCTGTCTCAATATTTAAATATATATAATAATATCTGACAGACAAAATTCCACAGAACAACAACAACAACAAGACTATTAGAGGAAATCAAAACAAAACTCATTGTCATCAAGCTAGTTCTTAGTCACAGGTACTTCCCTTGGGTTTTTGAAGCTGTAAACTATAACAAGAGGAGACTACCCATCACTCTTTCAAGAGCAACTGGTGGGTTCAAGTGCTATAGAAATGCATCGTTTTGGTTAGCAGTGAAACTCACTGTGTATTATGCCACTTTGATTCCCTATTAAAACTTTGAACTTATGTTTTTAAATCTTCAAAATATATAATGCCTTTATATTAGTATTTTTAAAAAATGTGCTTCAAGTAAGAACTAATTCATAGCTGCCTCTCTAGCAAACTTTCAGAGGTTGTAAATTGTACTGGAAGTGATTGTCCACCTTCTCCCTATGAACAACTAGTAGATTTGAATAGTGTACTTTTGGGCTAACAGTGCAACTTCTTATCATTAGAGCTAACCTTAGTTCCCTCTAACTTGTCGAACCTGACCATAATGATCTCCCTTTCTTAGTATTAGTCTAATAATAAACAGACTAGTTTTTATACAGTTTATTACAAGAACCACCTTCCCTCTGTAACTTGATTTGTGCCATTGTTTAATTTTTGACTCATATACTTTTAACTTGTTAGTTAAATCTGTGTCTTCTAGGCTGCAACAGTTCCATGATGCATCTTCAAGGATATGAACATGTATGGCTAAGTACAATTAATAACAGTGCATCTAAATTCCAAAATCAATCTCCACAATAGTCTATGTGTTTTCCTATTGCCAAAGAGGCCCTTTAGAATAGTGAGAGAAGATCTTTACCCTGAAACCTACAGCGTCCCTTTTCAGCAGGAAGTAACTAAGAGAATACGCTGTCTCCTTTTCCTTATGAATCAGGGTGAAATCTCTCTCAGGGGGGAGTGATAGGGAATGGCAAAGGATGCACTGACAAAGGAGATTAATCAGAACTGATTTTGACAAGCACTGTGGCAATGGGTCAATTAAAACAGACTCTCAAGGGGGAAAAAAGATAGGAATGAAGGAGGGAGTGTAGAGAAAATAGTGCAATAATTAATGAATGGAAATCCAAAACCTCTGTAAATGTTCATTAAAATTAATAAAATAAAATTTTAAAAAGACCAAAAACCAATTCATGGAATCCACAAATGTGTCAAAGTAGAGCTGTACTCAATAAAGTTTTTAATGGTTTCTTTTGTTTTTTTCATGTTTTTTTTCCTTGATTAGTCTGCTTTGCTCTATTAAATTGTGTGTTACACAATCATATATATCATATTTTATGTAATTAATGACTACGCCTATTATTACTCCTTGTTTTCAAGTTCTCACGGAATCTTTCCTGTCTGTTCCTTCAGCCAACCCTCCACCCACTAACCTCTACTATTCTAGTGATTTCCCTCTTCAATGTCTTTTTCCGTCTTTCTACCTTTCCCTTTCTCCTTTTGAAAATTCATATCTGTGCTGTTCAGTTATACTCATAGTTTCACAATTGTGCCCTTCTGCAGTATTTGTCCTTATATGACTGAGGTATTTCACTTGGCATAAAACCTCCTAGTCTCCCATGTTACATAGTATTTTACATAATTGTTGTTCCTTAATGCTGTATAATATTGTATAAATAGCTGAGGTTTTGGTAAAAAATCATCTAGCCTTTCTTCTGAAGCAGCCTCAGGTCGAATCAACCCTTCAATCTTCTGGTTAGGAACCAGTATGTCAACTCTTTGCATAACCTTGGAAAGCTCATTAATTTTGTTTAATTATTTGCATGTAAAATACAAAATTAACTTTTTCATTTTTATCCGCTTCCTAAACAACATGCCTCTGGAAGTGCTGTGAACTTTGATGTGTAGATAGTTGTAAAGGGGCTTCGTGTCTTTTGTTCATAGGATTGTTATGAGTTGTGCTCAACTCGAAGGCAATCAAAAACAACAATAATGATTTAATCATTAATATATTACTAAAAGTATAAAACTTAGAGTTCAAAGCCCAGATTCTTATATTCCTTACATAATACTGATATTTTCTGTTGAAATTAAGCATAAGAGAATTGCACATAAAGTATTCTATCCCTGGTTTTCTTCCCATGTTTAGTTTAAGAGCAAGAGATGTTTTCAAAATTATGACAATGACAGTTTTTACAGGAGAGAAAATGAAGAAGTCATCTGAAAACAAATGTTAAGACCAAAGATAATATTCTACCCAGGCCCAAGAACATGTGGCAGTAATGTTTGGATCATGGACCTAGGACTAAAACCAAGGACTATAAAATTCATTACAGAAAAGCTAGGAACAACAATAGAAGTCCTAATCCACAACATAAACCGTCTTCCCAGTATCCTGGAAAACCTACAACCAGGAGAAGATAACATAGATGAATGGGACCTTCTAAGACTCAAATCCCTATGCACATCCAAAAACTTCTCCAGTAGGGTAAAAAGGGAAGCCACTGACTGGGAAAAAGTATTCGGTAATAACATATCAGATAAGGGACTTATATCCAGAATTTATGAAATACTTGAGCACCACAACAAGATAAAGGTAAATAATCCAATAGAAAAATGGGCACAGGATATGAAGAGGCACTTCACCGAAGACGACATTCAGATGGCTAACAAACACATGAAGAAATGCTCAAAATCCCTAGCCCTAAGAGAGATACAAATTAAAACAACTATGAGATATCATTTCACCCCAGTCAAAATAGCAAAATTTAACAGAACAGCAAGCAACAAATGCTGGCGAGGTTGTGGAGAAACTGGAACCCTGATTCACTGTTGGTGGGAGTGTAAAATGGTGCAACCCCTGTGGAAAGCAGTATGGCGCTTTCTCAAAAAGTTGCAAATAGAAATACCATTTGACCCAGCAGTTCCACTACTGGGAATATACCCTGAAGAGACCATAGCTGACATCCAAGCAGATATATGCACACCCATGTTTATTGCAGCTTTGTTCACAATAGCAAGGAGTTGGAAACAACCTAAGTGCCCATCAACAAACGAATGGCTAGAGAAGCTGTGGTATATTCGCACAATGGAATACTATGTTGCATTAAAAAACAAGGAACTCATGCAATATTATTCAAAATGGTTGACTCTGGAGAACATTATGCTGAGTGAAATATCCCAGTCACAAAAGGACAAATATTACATGATGCCACTGTTGTAGAATGGGACTGTCCTTGGGGTTGGGGAGAGACTGAGTAAGATGGGTTCAATAATGTATACTGCACTGAAACAGAGGAGGGAGAGAACCGTTTAAAAGAGAGATATAACTGGGTATTTCTGTCATCACAGGAGACTAGAGCGAGGGCTACATGGTGGAGGGGACCTGGGGGAGGGTTTGTAAAACAATGAAAGAATCTTTTCTTTTACTTTTCCATAATTTTTGGACTCATGTACTTATAACTTGTTAGTCAAATTTGTGTCTTCTAGGTTGCAACACCCCCATGATACATCTTCAAGGATATGAACATGTACAGCCAAGCACAATCAATAAGAGTGCATCTAAATTCCAAAATCAATCTCCATAATAGTCTATGTGTTTCCTACTGCCAAAGGGGCCCTTTAGAGTAGTGAGAGAAGATCTTCACCCTGAAACCCACAGCGACTTATAATAGTTTAGAGTCGAAAAGGACAAATTTTTGGATATGGCTACCTAGGTGTAATATGACTGTTTGTTCTTCTCTATACCTTCCTCACATGGCAAAAGGAGCTAATAATAGTTCCCACACCTCAAGGTTAGTGTAAGGATTTCATCAATAGCATATTTCTCTCCTTGTGG